TGTGTATATATGTATATGTATAGTACATATTTGCATGTACATATACCTATACACCCTATCCCAATCCCCCACTTCATCCTCCCCCCCTCATCCCTCTCCTCCCCCCCCTTCCTCTCCCACCCACCCCACCTTGCTCGAACCTCTTCCTCATCCGCGTCGCCTCCAGCCGCGTCCCTGACACTATTAAAGACAGGATCGCCGGCCATTACACGGAGCCAATCCCACCCTAATCCTCCCACCTAATCCTGATCCTTCTCCCGTAACTGTAACTTATGCCGACTCGCAGGGCGCGCCTGTGGCTTTCCTCGGCTTACGTACGCACTCTCACACGTTCGGGGATGCGTACGTGCATGCGCGCGTGTGTGCACACACACACACACAGGCACACTCACACACACACACACACACACACACACACACACACACACACACACACACACACACACACACAAAGAGAGAGAGAGCAAGAGCAAGAGCAAGAGCAAGAGAAAGAGAGAGAAAGAGAAAGAGAGAGAGAGAAAGAAAGAGAAACAGAAAGAGAGAGAAAGCTATATACACACATACATACATATAAAAACAAAACAAAAACAACGAAGTGCTTGCGTCCTCACCTTGGTATCCAAATGGTTGCCGTCCTTGTAGGTGAACCAAACCTTGGAGTCGTTGGAGTAGGTGAGTGTGTACGCCTGGATCCAGTGCTTCCTCCCCTTGTCACCCCTGCCTCGCGTGATCACCCCTGTCACGAGGTGGGGAGGCCCAAGGTCCCACTGAAGCCACTGGTGTTCTGTTGACAGGGGGTGGGGGGGGGAAGGGATGTAGGGTGAGGGGGAGGGGAGAGAGAGAGAGGGGGGAGAGAACAGGTGGGAAAAGTGGTCAGTTTGTGGAGGGGGTGATGTTTGTGGGGTAAGGGGAGGGGGGGGAGGGGGTTTGGTGGAGGGGGAGGTAGGGGGAGGGGGAAGGAGGAAGTGTGGGTGGGTGGTGGTGGGGGGGGAGGTGAGGGTAGGTGGGGGTGGGGGTGGAGGGGTAGGTGGTAAGGTGCTTCGTTTGTTGATAATATTGACAAATACCAATCACCAAAAAAAATATATAATGAAAATGATAAAATTGATAATAATAACACACAGAAATGATAACAGTACAGAAATAATTATAACATCGGAGCAAAAATACCAGATAATAAACACTGATACCAATTCATGGATAAGATACCCAGGTACCACAAATGCAGAATAATACCAAATACCTAGTGCCAAAATAGGGATACCAAATACCAGACATCAAATACCAAATGAGGCCAATACCAGCTCCCAGATGCGAAATGAGAATGAATACCAAATACCAAACATATGTACAAAATACGAGGCAACAAAAATATAAAATTCGAGGTTCCAAATACCAAATGCCAATACTAAACACTAGATACTGAATACCATATAATAAATAATACCAAGCGTAAACTGTCATGCATTTATTGCCAAATGCCAACTGCAAACTGATACCAACTCACAAATCCTTAATACCAATAAGGATCAACTCACAAGTACCTAATACCAACTATTGCCATGAATACCTCAACCACCAACTAACAACAGCTACCAAATGCCACAAATCACGAACAAAAGCCAACGATAAAATACCAATTACCAAAATCCTAGAAACATCACCCTGACATGAACCACGAAATACCAATCAATACCACCTGCAAGTATCAGCAGTGAAATGTGATCAACTGACTAATAACAACACTTAACTTCCAAATACCCAGTTGATACCACTAAATACCAGCTTGACATTAGCGAATACTACCAAATACCATCACATACCATCACATACTAATACCAGCCCGTAAATACCTGAGGCAAACTGATACCAACCCAAATATACTTAATATCAACATCGAATATTAGCCCAGTCAATCAGATACCAGCGAATACCAATAAAAAATGATGCCACAATATAATACCGTCATAATACCACCATTATCCATTTAGATATTAACGAATATAACCAAAGATTCACATCGGTTGTCACCTGCGGATACCATTTAATCTGATACCTATGAATACCACCCAATACCAAGAAATATTGCTTAATACTACCAATATACCATGACATCTAACAGGGATCAGTTAAAACCACGAAATACCAAAGGAATACCTCCCAGTATCGCCAGCATACCACCATATCCACCAGAATAAGCCAATACCAACCAAAAATACCAGAGAATACCACATCATACCACCCATATACCCACACACACACCAGCTCCCACCCATTAAAAAAAAACAAAAAAAAAAACGCCCATTCCCACCCACTCCCGCCCGCGCCCCTACCCACCCCCGCCCGCGCCCCTACCCACCGTTGTTCCTGCGGGCGCACCAAGCCCTGTGGGAGTGGAGAGCGGCGTCCTTCGGCTGGCAGGACTTCCGACGACGCCACGGCATGTACGAACTCGCCGACAGCTGCACGTGGGACCCCTCGCTGATGATGGCCTTACACT